GTGGGTCCACACTTCAGTTCCTCACTCAGAACTACAGAACTCACACTGCAGCCTCATGGTAGTTACTCAATAATTTATAGTAGCTGCTGAATTCTAAGACTAGAGTTCAAGGGGTAAGTGTTACCCTCCTGTCCTGAAAATGAGCCCTCAGAGAAAAGAGGGGCATCACTATCATCTGCTGCTCATAAAGGGATCAGCCATAGAAGGTCAGCGTCAGATGCTCATTTGTGAGGAATGTGCAGTATGGACTCCTGGTGTGTCCATAAAGTCCAAGAGATTCCAGGGAATTACTGAGTCTGGAGGAGTCTGACTGACTGAGGAGAGAGGGGGAGAAAGAGAGAGAGAGAGAGAGGTAAAGAGACAGACAGTAAGAGATAGAGACAGAGAGGGAGAGAAAGGTAGAGATGAGGGAGAGAGGGAGGAAGAGAGAGAAAGAGGGAGAGAGACAGGGACAGAAGACATGAAAGAGAGAGAGATAGAAATATAGGGAAATAGAAAAATGAAAGAAAGAAGGAGAGAGAAAAGAGAGAAAGAGAAACGAGAGAGATGGCCAGAGACAGAGATGGAAAGAGAGAAAGAAAAGAGAGAGAAATGACAGATTAAGAGAAAAAAAGAGAACAAGAAAGGAGAGAGAAAAGAAAGACGCATAGAGAAAAAAGGGAGAGATAGAGAAAAGTAAGAGAGAGGAAAAACAGCAGGTAGACAGAGAGTGAAACTGAAAAAGAAGGAGAGAAAAAAGTTAGAATAGAGAGAAAGGAGAGAGATGGTCAGAGAAAGAGAGAACGAGAGTAAGGAGAAAGAAAGAAAAATAAGAAAGAAAGAAAGAAAGAAAGAAAGAAAGAAGAAAGAAAGAGAGAGAAAAAGAAGAGATTAACAGAAAAATGAAAGAAAGAAAGATGTGAGAGAGACAAAAAGAAAGAGAAAAGTGAAAGAAGGAGAGAGAAAAAAGGGAGAGATAAAGAGAGACAGAAAAAGTGAGAGAGAGAGGAAAAAAGACAGAGAGACACAGACAAACAGAGAGAAAGGTGAGTGACAGAGAGAGAAAAAGGAGAGAGAAACAGAGAGTGTTTGTGGGAGAGTAGAATAGAGTGAAAGAGAGAAAAAGTAAGAGAGAGAGAGATGAAGAACAGACAGTGCTGTGTCCAGTGTCCCTCTCTGTCTGTCAGGCTCAGCAGAAAAGGCCATAAAACACACAGACTGAAGCTCAGCCTGAGGCTCTGGATCCTCTCTCTCTCTCTCTCTCTCTCTCTCTCTCTCTCTCCTCCTCAGGGGAAACTCTGTCTATTCTCAGAGATCTACACATACAGCACGCCTGCAGCCAGACAGACACACACACACACACACACACACACAGCACTATTTGATTGGGATTTTGTCAGTGTTCTGTCCATCTTCACAACAGTAGCTACGATAGAACGCATTAGTGGGTGGAGCATCACAGATCAATCAAGCTCTAAAGTCTTGCATCATTTGGTAGTCGGAGTCTTGTCAATGTAAGGAACTAAAAGTGAATGGGGTTTCCTGCTGTGGTTCACCACACTGTGCAGAACAAAACGGCTCCAAACCTGATATGTTTTGTCCTGTTTTCCACTGAGTGTTTCTGGATCCTCTGAACTAATATTTAATTCAAAATCTGCTGGTTTACAGAAGATCAGAATGATTCGCTTTGCAAAATTATCACAGCAGTGCGAGGACAACCATTTAAAGCAGATGAAACAATACTTTCTATGTCAGTGTGTGCACACTGATTTGAGGGCCTTCTGGGAAATTAGGAATCACATTGTGCCTGTAAGGTTTGGGTTGGACAGGATACAAATATCGAAATATTAAAGCTTAATGGAACATTACTGAATTTGTGCAGCCTTTAGTTGAACATTGTACCACTGTGTTCGTTTAGTGATAGACTGCATATGAAACATCTGATCAGGATCATTTATTTACAGATTGGGAGGCTAACTTGCTGTTGCTCTGTATTCTTTTCCTACTGGCCAGGGAGTTTGAGCACTGCATGGACTTACATTGGCATTATTTTACCTTTCGGGCACTTTGTTCCCTTTCAAACATTTTTGGGATTTGCTTAGGACTGCGTGTTTTTGGGCAGTTTGGCAAAGACTGTGTATCGTTCAAGTTGGGAGAGAACTGTGCACCTTTCAGGTCCGTGCCTGTTGGGCAGAAAAGTCCTGAATGAATGGGATTTTCACAAATCGCTGCCCTGTGGTTAACAAAAAGGTTCTAAACCTGGTATGATTTGCCTTACATGCATTTTCCCTGTTACTGGATCCTCCAAATTTATATTTGGACTCCTTAATGACATCGCAATTTAAAGGATCCAGTCACATTTAGAAGAAAAATGTGTTGTGGATGAAAATCTTGTTCATTTTTGCCATAGAGAAATCTATCTTAAGCCCAGAGTTGCTAATCTGGGCCTGATACTGACAACCGAAGAATCATATGAGTTCAAAAGTCTATAGAAGTCTGTGGGATGATGTCTGAAAAATTGCTGCCCAAGTTCAAATAAATTGTTCCAAAGTTGTTATGTTTTCTTCTACAAATATTTTTTCCTCCGAATGCCTTTGAATCCTCTGAACTATTGTGCCAAGAAGTCAAAATGTAAGACTCAAATTTCATGCCGTGGCTTTTTTTTAAACATCGTGCCATCTCGCGGCAACGCTGCTTGCTCATTTCCGGGACCGCCGTCTGTTTCCACACATGTGCAGACTGAGAAAGCCGAAAGAAATCAGAGTAAGAGTTCACATGCACTTAGAAATCTGATTACTAAGCTAAAATCCAACTCTCTTTATTGGATTTCTTAATCAGATTTCCAGACTTTTCTTTGATCTAAGAAATCAGAGTATGCTGTTAACATGACCATTGAAACAATCAGATAACTGCAGAAATCTGATTATGATGAGATTATTGAGTGCATATAAACGCACTTATTGCTATAATCTGAACTGATTGCTAAGCATTCAGCCTCGCCAAAACCAATTGTCAATTGTGATAGAAGGTAGAATTGAAATTAAATGGTAGATTTACTTTCACACGCTATCGTTTTAATGCGCAGGAGTGTTAGCTTGCTTACAGCATGTGTGTTTTGACTGCTAAACAACCTCATAATGCAGTGGATCCACTGACATTTGGAGAAAAAAACTTAATGAAAATGTCGCAGTTACAATACGGCACAAATGTAGTGATTTTTAACACCACCACTCATTTTTTCCATAGAGAAAAACTGCATAGACTTGTTTTCCCTTATATGGGCGTGACTGTGACTACAGAATGACACAGGACTTCATTGGTCTATTCACAAGCATGCAGAAAGCATTGACTGGTTACAGATACTGACAGTCCAACACAGAAACACAGAGACTGACAGAAACACAACACTGCACACACAATAAGAAGCCTGGCTTTGCTTAGTGATTGGCAGCTGTGGGGTTGGGGGGGGTGGAGGGGTGGAGAGGTCAGTCCAGTGCCCGCTGGTCCTCTCCAGCCATGTGCCTTTCACCCTGTCACATCAGCCTGTCTAGCTGGATACAAACCATGGCTGGACACGCACACACATGCCCACGTCGCCTCGGACTCCAGGTTGTAGCCAGCAGGGCAGCAGGGCAGCAGGGCAGGGGGTGGATGTGACTTTGACTGCTTAATGCTATGTGCCAGAGGATTAGTGGCCCTCTCTTCAACTTTCACACAATCGCTGCCTTGCCGACCGCCCCATGACTGATACACTGCAGCGTATAACTGGAGGCATTTAGAAGATGCAGCTGGGAATTTACTCCTAAAATCTGCTGGTTTGAAAAAGATCTGAATGCTTTGCTTGGCAAAATTATGGCAGCAGTACTTGGACATAAATTTAGATTTCAAAGTCAATGAAACAATGCTTTCTACATCTGTGTCTGCGTACTGATTTGAGAGCCTTCTGGGAAATTAATAATCACAACATGCCTGCTAGTTTTGGGTTGTGCTGGAAACATACGGCAAATAAATCTCAACATCTGACAAGCTTGACATGTGATAAAGAGAAGCAACAGTGAAGAAGGAAATGTATTCAATAATTAGTTGAACATTCTGCCACTGTAGCTAAATGAAACACATGATCAGGATAAATTCAGGCTAGACAGGCTAACCTGCTAACTTGCTGTCACTCTGTACTGTTTATCTACCTGCATGGAATTACATTGACAGTATTGTGGACTATTTCATTATTCTTTACCTCTGAGGCAGTTTGGGGAGAACTGTGTAGCTTTCAGGTCCTTGCCTTTTGGGTAGCTAGGTTAGACTGCCTACCTTTCAGGCAGGTTGCCAAAGACTGTCTTCCTTTCAGGCAATTTGTTGAGAACCACGTACCTTTCAGGCTCTTGACTTATAGGCAGTTTACTGAGGACTGCTTGTTTTTCAGGCAGGTTGGCAAAGATCGTTTTCCTTTCAGGCAGTTTGTTGAGAACTGTGTACATTTCAGGCCCTTGAATTATAGGCAGTTTACTGTGGACTGCTTGTTTTTCAGGCAGGTTGCCAAAGACTGTCTTCCTTTCAGGCAGTTTGTTGAGAACTGTGTACATTTCAGGCCCCTTGCCTTATAGGCAGTTCACTAAGGGAATGTTTGCTTTTCAGGCAGTTTGGCAAAAAAAGCTATCTACCTTTCAGGCACGTCGGTTTTTAGGGTTGTTTTTTAGAACTTCTTGCCTTTTGGGGAGTTTGAGAAACCATCTATTTTTCAGGCACTTTGGTGAAAACTATGTGTCTCCCAGCCAATCACTGAAGACTGCCTACCTTTCAGGCAGTTTGGCAATAAGCTATCTACCTTTTACGCACTTTAGTTTTCAGGATTGTTTTTTAAGACTGCTTGCCTTTTGTGGAGTTTGGGCAACGCTTTTCTTCCTTCCAGCCAGTTTGCTGTGAAATGTGTACCTATTGGGCAGTTTGATTAGGACCATTTATTATTCAGACACTTTGGTGAGGACTGTGTGTCTCCCAGCCAATCTCTGAAGGCTGCCTACCTTTCAGGCAGTTTGGTGAGGACTGCTCGGTAAAGCTGTCGTGGGACACTTGCAGGCTCTGGACCACACGGATGGACAAAGGGGTGGACAGCTGTGAGAACGAAGCCCTGCTGGTAAAGATCCTTTAGCTGGGATGGCAGCTCCCGCACCGAGGATAGACACAGAGTGGACGTTCCTTCTGCCGGAGGACACAGAGTGGGAGAGAGAGATAGAGAGACAGGCAAGACGTGAGAAGACACAATGGAACATGACATGTGGTCACACTACTGGAATTCCTGGTGGAGTTCCCATACAGAAAAATACAGTATCCTATGCTAAAACTGGCTGCGTTCCAGACCAACAGCTAGTACATCCCTGCTCACTTCTCTTAGCCTCTTCCCATCAGCAAATCCATGATCCAGGGATAAACAAGCTTCTGTTTTTTAAATGTAAAAGTGTGTTCACTGATTCTTTTTTAGATTTGATACTCAAGGATGGCGCCTAAATATTAGCTCAGAATTGAGAAGCCTTTGATGGAATTGGAAGAAGTCGCATAGTTTATGGATTATCTCTCAAGTGTAAATGAGAAGTGAGAGAGGGCTTGATTTTTCTGAATTGGAAGCCGGCCATACAGTTCACAGCGCAGGACGCTCTACAACATTGCTCTATTTTGTATTCTGACTGGGAAAATTGCACTGCGTTGTTGATGCACGAGGCAACGGAAACGAAAATAAAAAAAGCAGCGATTGTTTTAGCAATTAGAGTCATGCTGGTGGCTTTCTGTCCTTGTCTATGATTTAATGGGCCCGGATGAAAATCCAATTAAACATGATTGTTTAGCTCGACGTGAAACGAGAGCCTTTTAAACTAGGGCTTTGATACCTTTCTCGGCAGGGTTGACAAGGCCAATCACAAACCCTCAACTGGCATTAATGAGCTGTGTTTGATAGACTGACCAGATATTCTGACCGGGGAAAGGGGGGCTGGGGGGCTCTGTTTTTAGCCCAGTCTAAAGTGAGAGAGACAGGGCATGGCGAAAAACAACAGACAGGAAGTGTCAGGCGATCCTCGGAGCCAGCCAGCTGTGCAACAACACGTCCAAAAGCAGAATCAAAGACGGCCATATGCTAATGAGTGAGACAGAGAGAGAGAGAGAGAGAGAGAGAGAGAGACAAAGAGAGAGAGATGTGAATGGGCCAAGACTTTGGCTGGCGCTCTGCTCCCAGGGCACCATTCCCAAAACTGTAGCATTTTAAATGAGACCAAACAGCTGGCCGGCCCGAATCCGTTCCAAGATCAACACACAAATGGACAGGGCTGGCCTCTCTCCCTCACACTGCAAGTCACGTGCGGACAGCATGGTGAAAGGGCACGGCCTGCAACTTGGGATTCTGACAGGCTGGTGAGAAGGCCTGCTCCCAGAGGTCATTTCTTTCCAGATGAAGGTCAAAAGGTCAAGGGTGAACCTTTCCCTCCACCGCTAACATACGCCTCTACATTCTCAGAAATAAAGGTTCAAGAAAAAACCTTTAACTGGAATAGAACTTTTGCATTATATGGAGGTTCTTTTACCTTTAAAAAAAAGGTTCTCACTCACACATCTCTTTGAAAACAATACTTTTCATTGAAAGGTATTTTTAAAAGGGCAGAGCATCCCAACCACTGGGCCACGGATTGGTGCCAGGGCCGTGACTGGGTTGAGACAGGGCTGCAACAATGTGGCAGCGTGCAGGGGGAAATTTAGTAGCCTAACAGCCAAAATACAGTTTTATTATGATTATGATTATTATTAAAGTAATTAATATTATTACACTAGTATTTTTATATTCATTCCATTAAAATATTCATCAACTATTCTATGTTATTTTAAACATATTGGCCTACATCATGTTTTGTAGTCTTTTGGGGCCAGATGGGATCTTGTGATAAGAACATCTAGAGTCCACTCTGGGAAATGTTAGGTTAAATGTGGGTGGGAACTACAGGCCTCATTTACCAACCATTTTTAAGAAGAAATTTGTACCCATTTGCACAGTTTTCACGAAGATTCTGACATTCACCAATGTTTTCTTATTTAGATTTGTACTTCGGTAAGAATTTACACACACTTGAGCACAAAGGTGCGAACAATTCTGCGGTTTGAAAAACAAGTCATGAATATGCTTTTTCTTAGGACCTTTCTCAAAAACAAATTTAAGAAATATTGTTGAATGAGGCACATTGACTTTTTAGGGTGGGAAAAAAATCGGTGTGAAATTTCTAAACCAATCCAGTGCTCGGTGATAGATATGCTCAGAGTAGGTGGTGATGGTGCCTTCGCCCACATTGTCCACTGGACAACAAGCCTATCACTAGCCCATGGATGCAACCTAAGTGAGCATGACTGAAAAGTCCTCTAAAAACTCAAGCTTGCAAAGAAAAACAGTTCTGTTAGCTAATGACAGCGTATCACTTGCTAGCTTTCTTTACTTCTGGATGTTAAAAGAGCATGGAGTAGATCAATTTGGGGTAGATTTTAGGGGTGGCGGACCCTTGTTTGCAGAGATTTTACCATGATCCAGTACCAAATGTTTAACAAGTTGCCCCAGACATGTACTCTCATCAGGAAATCATGTCTTGCCTTGCCAGACTAGCATGTAGGTTGCTATTGGCTGCCTTTAGTTGATTGCTAATATAAGTGAGGAAGTCACAAATGAATAAATTGACAGCAAACTTTTTACTGAGGCTGCAAACTCATCAAAGACAAGCAGGAAAACAAGACCAACATTCAGGCAAAATATGATGACGCCTAAAAAAATTGCGATTCATTGCACTTGACATGCTAATACACTAAATCCATTGTGTGTGGTACGCAGGGACAGAACATTCCTCAATGATGGCAAAACATTGGCTAATTCTATGTGTTCCTGCATCAAAGCTCCTCAACCGGGTCCTAAAAACTGTTGTGGGCTGCGGTTCGGTCCCACTTCCCAGAGAGGTTGGGAGCCTCTTGCTTTAGGGGACCAAAAGTGGTTATTCTATGTCATTGCTCCAAAGAACCCTTTTGGCACCTATTTTATTCAGCGTTTGGTCTTAAGCAGACAGTCTGAAGGTGAGCAGAGTTAATGTGGCTGCTCTTTATATGGCCTGACCAAAAGGGCAGATAAGCATATCACAGAAATGTTCCCTTTTGCATGGGACATCAATTTCCCATCCAGTACGGCCCAGTGATCCTCCACAGCAAATTCAGAAGCTGTGCAGAATTCGGTGGAAGGTGAAGGGTACGAAAGTGCGATGATGGAAAGAGAGAGAGGGAGAGACAGAGAGAGAGAGAGGGGAAAAAGGCAGACACAGGACTAGAAAGAAACAGCTGATTCCAGCAGGATCTCGGCCCTGTCTTAGCCGGGCATAATTCCAAAGCTCCATTGTAAAAGCGCATCGGAAAAAAAGAAAGAGGTCCCTTCAGGCAAGTTGTTGGCCGGCTAAAAATAACTCAGGATTTCTCAATCACATTCTCCCTCGGCCTGCCACGGAAAAACCACAACGTCCGCGAGATACGGCGGAAACGGGAGACAGTCTCAGACGGCTCGAAAAACGTTCCTTTCCCCGGTCGGGTGTGCTTTAGTATAATTAAGCCGAGTCTGTTTGATTTGATTTTTTTTGCCTTTTTGGTGTGCAAACAGCAAGATTCCCTAGAGGCTGCGTGCTGTGTTTGCCGTTCGTTCGGCAGAGTCGGAGGATATTAACTCGCTCCGTGCACTCTCACATTGGGCGGAATGAATAAGGAATGGTTTTCATTACATGCCACTGGGAAAACAGCCACAGGGCACTCGCTTAAGTTGGCCTTAATCGCTGTGAGAACTCCCACTGAAATGTGAACCCCCGCTCTCTCTTTCTGTCTCTCTCTCTCTCTCTCTCTCACTCTTGCTCTCTCTCTTGCTAGCTAACGCTAATGTTTTTGATGCTAATACAGCTTTTGCTGAAAGCTTAGGGTACCTTCATCTGAGCACTGGTCTGGAACATTAAGCTGGTCAATAAGAAAACAGAAGGAGGCTGAAGACATTTTGAAAGAAATGAACAGACTACACCTCATCTCGTTTGAGAGAACTCGCCCAGTGCTAACAAGGTCACGATAGCGCTAGCTTGTTTGGCAAACTTTCAAAATGTCAGCCCTGACTTAGTAAAAAGTTTATTACCTTAAAAATTGCCTGCCTCGGAATAATAACGATAACAGGCGTAACCTTTGCCCAGAGACATAAGACAAGAAAAAAAGTAAATTACAAAGGCAGTCTCTAGCCATACTCCAGAGACTATTAATAAGAAATGTAATTATTTCTTCATTTACTTTTAGATGCTACTCATTGAAGTGGAGCGGGAAATTACTCAAGGCAAAAAGGACAAAACCAGTCAGGAGACTTTTTTTCAGTCGTGTAATTTTTATAATATTGCTTTTCCTCATGCACACACTGGGCTTCAGCTTTTGAAAGAGTTCAGCAATGCCTCGATTAACCTTGCCTGAGCCGGTGACCATTAGCCTGCCCACTCTGATCTGATATCACCGTCTCCCCCTTATTAATCCCTGTACCCACTCTCCAGAGCCGTTGTATTCACAACCCGCTTCCATTTTAAAAATAACTGAGTAAATATGAAATGAATCAGGCTGAGGGATATGAGTGGGGGAGTTAGGGAGTGAGCTCTGTGCTGTTGCCGCTGGGGGACATGGTTCAATCCGATTTGCGCGAAGCCTTGAGAGGAAGGCATGGGAGCAATAAAAGACGGGTTGGAATAAATGTGGAACGGCGTAATGCAAGGCAAGAGGAGCCGCGAACGTTTAACGATTAGAGACCTGCTTACTTCTCAACAGCGCTATTAACACGATTTATGCAGCGCAAATGCAGCTTCACCACCGGCGAGGACCCGACACTGAGGAAGGCAGAAAATGTCTAGGGCCGCCTTTATGGCACGCAATAACAGATTCGACACAGGCCTGCTGGGGTCGCAGCAGGAGTTCTGCTTTTCTGTGCCAAATATTAAGTGTGAAAACATGAACAGAACTGAAAGTATATTTTTGATGTGGCCAGATTGATGAACAGAGCTGTAGCTGATTGTAAATGATGGACAAGGATGTAGAACATTGAGAATGAAGTTATAATTAAATGAATATCCAGAAGGCTGCATAATCCAAAAGTGCTGATGGGATCTCAAGGCAAAAACATAGTA